TACAAGGTAGAATGACATTGCGCTGGATGTTGTCTCCATTACTTTTCTCTCATTGCTGGGACAAAATACCCAGCACCCAAACTGAAGGGAGGAGGGTTTAGTTAGCTCACAGTTAGCAGAGGTTTCAGTCCATGCTCAGCTGGCTCCAAGGCAGGGCGGCACATGGCAGAGGGCAGCAGCTCACAGAGGAGGGAAACAGCAAAGAGCAGAGGGAGGAGTGGGGGCTGCGCAGCTAGCAGGCCTCTCTCGCTTCCTGTATTGTATTCAGGCTATCCCCCCCCCCCCCCACCGCGGGTGTAGCACTCACACCCATAATCCCAGCATTGGATCATGAATTAATCACAAGCTGTAGAAGCTGCCCCATGACTGCATGAGGCTTTTGGGGGACACTAGACACAAACCGTAACAGATAGGCATATATACCACATTTTGTGGGTCTCTTTTTCTGTCAGTGGCTGTTGGATTGTTTCCATGTTTGCAGTATTATGAATAGTGCTGCTACGCCTCGGCGGTACATCGATCTCTGCAGAGCCCTGCTGACACCTCTCTTGAGTTTATAACTTGAGGCGGAATTGCTGGGTCATGTAGTGCTAGTTTTCAATTGTATGTATGTATCTGTTTTGTTTTGTTTGAGACGGGATCTTGCTATGTAGTTCAGACTGGCCTTGAACTCACTACGTAGCTCAGGCTGGCCTCCAGCTTAGAGCTGTCCTCCTGCCTCAGCCTCAGGAGCTGGGATTACAGTTGTGTGCTACCACCCTGGTGAGTTTTCCGTGCTTTGAGGAGCCGTGTTCTCCACAGCACTGTGCCACTTGACATTCCCACAGCTGCCCTCTTTGGAGTGTGATCTGTGGGCCCTAAAACTACCTCTCAGGCCGAAGAAGGCGCTGCATCTTTCTCCTCTTTCTGCTGCACTTGGGGTGCCCAGCTTAGGGGTGAGTCCTCTGCGGTGCTCTAGGTACCCAGGGCCCTTTCCTTGGCTGTGGAGGCCAGTGGGGTGCCCGCCTATCTCAGAGTGTTCTATAGCGGAGGAAGCTTTCTGTCCCCACCTCTGCGTACAGGGCAGAGGCTTCCAGGTCCACGGACAGGCCTGCGTGGAAGGGCGACTGCCTGGGGAGGGCTGAGTCATCGCAGATGGAGGCGCTGGGCCCAAGTCTGCTCACTTCCAAGTGAAAGTGTAGAGGCTGTGGCGGAGCAGGGCGTCCTCCTGAGTGGCCCTGGCTCGCAGTCGAGTGTTGGCACACCAAGGCCCCCTCAGGAGGCAGTTCCTGGCTTCCTGTGGACCCCGCAGGGCTGTACCACAAGCACTGTGTTCCTTCCAGACGAGGCTGAGGGTCCATGCATCTACCCCGTGTGCCTGTGCTGTGGTTTGGCCACTTGTGCAGAAGGGCTCATGAAGCAGCAGGGGAGAGGCTCTAGGGTCAGGTGGGTGCCCGTCAGACACTGGGCAGGAGAGTGGGCCTTCACAGCAGATTCATCCAAGAACGAGTATAGGTAAAGAAGCGTGTTTTTACGGGCAGAATTGCGTGATTGGACAGTGACCCTGCTCAGGCAAAGCCCCTGCCAGCATTGAGGACCTTTTTGGTCTTACATATGTGTGTGTTTTACAGAGGCCCACCTCAGGGAGCATAGCCCCTTGACTTTGATACTGTTTCTCCTACCTGCTTCCTTTAAAAAAGGCATTATCTCCATTACTTTCTGATGAGTTTTCAGACAGGGAGATAAGCACGGATCTCACGTGGGTAGCTCGGCGAGTTGGACTTGTGTACACACCCATGTCCCAGCACCCTCGTAAGAGGCAGGGCACATCCGTCACCCAGCAAGCTCCCTTCCTAATTCCTGCATCCCCATCCCAGGCAGCCACCGAGTATTCTCTACTCACATAGGTTAATTTGTCTTTTAAAGAAATGTCATATGAATGAAATCGTGTAGCATATACTGTTTGATGTCTTTTTCCATGAAATATGATTTCTCAGAAATTTGTCCCTGTTTGGACTGGACATATGGGTCAGCGGCACAGCACCTGCGTGGTAAGCAGGAGGTCCTGAGTTCAATTCCTGGTACAAGAAAAGGAGAAATTTGTCCATATTTTATGGATATTAGATATACTTATATAATTCTTTACATTTTTTTTCTTTGCTTTAGTTTAGTGTATAAATACACCACAATTTGTGAATTCTCCAAGAACTGCTTTTAAGTGCAGGGGAGGGAGCCCCCTGGGCTCTAACGGTGAGCCTGACTTGCCCTTCTGCAGGTCCCTCTGTGTCTTGCCTGTACACCTGGCCCTGGGCTCCCACCAGCTAGAAAGATCAACTGGAAGTGGGCAGAGTGGGCACTGACAGTGGTGGGGAAAGGTGCCAGCAAAGGAGACGCAGGCCTGGGGAGAGCTGTTGTGTAGCACGCCCAGGCCAGGCCTGGATCCCTGGCACCACAGAGACAGACAGCAGCACCCTTGAGGGGAAGCCAGCGTGTTGTGCTAGATAGAGGTAGGGAAGCCTGAGCCCTCTGAAGGAATTCCGAGTGGAGGTGGCTTTGCTTTGAGCTTTCTACAAGAGTGGGCTGGGAACTCTTCAAGTAGCATGGTGGATTGAGAGGATCAGATGGACCAGGGGGAAGGTGAAGTCCCCTCCTGAGCCTTCCTGAACCCCTTTTCAGCAACTCGTCCATGGCAGGAGGCTGGGAGCAGCAGCCAGGCCTGCCAGCGGCTGGCATCCCTCATCCCTGTGCAGAGCTGAGGCGGCTACAGGACATCCTGGGGGCCACAGAGCCACCATGGTGTTAAAGTGGATCCATTCTGTGCTGCTTGGAGTGGCTGTGTTCTGCCCCCTGCGCTTGGTCTTCTGGGCCAGGCCCCACCTTCCTGCAAGGTGGACAGGCTGCTCATCCTGAGAGGAAGGTCGGGGCTGGCCCCAGGAATGAGTGGACTTTTCTCCCTTTTCCTCTGCTCCTCCACTAGTCCTCAGGAGTGAGGACCCCCCCCCCAAGGTGCCCTGACCTTTGGACCTAGTCACACCCCATCCTGATGGAGGACAAGGTCACTGATCCTGTGTGTTGAAATCTAGTCAAGAAAAACAGTCCAGGAGCTGGTGAGATGGCTCAATGGAATAAGCGCTTCCCTGGCAAGCGCAAGGGGATGAGTTTAATCCCCAGTTCCACACACAAAAAAACCAAAAAACTAGTCCCATCCCTTCTCTGTGTCTGCAGAGCGCTTTGTACTCTGGGTAAGGAATAGTGAGTGACACAGGACTGTGAATGTGTAAACCAGGCTGAGGGAAGGAATAGCCAGCTATTCCAGGGCCAGAGGGGAGGCTTTCATAGAGGAGGTGTCGCCCAGAGGGTCAGAAGGTGAGCAGTATTGGGGTATTTGGGTGACCTACGGGGTGTGTTCCTGGCAGGAGGAGCAACTGGAGCAGTCACAAGGGCACCCCATGCTGTGGTGGGGAACAGGAGGCTGGGTGTGGGTGAGGCAGGGAGGGCGAGAGCTGGAGGTGGAGAGACGGAGGGCCTGGAAGGCCTAGGCTAGAGCACCAGGAGCTTGGACCTGACCCTCGGGCAGGAAGGACCCCTGGCGAGTTTATGAAGGTCTCTGTGGATGCAGTGTCAGGATGGGTTGGAGTGGAGTGGAGCTGGTGGGCGGGAGGCCGGCGAGGGAGCCACTGTGGTCACCCACTTGGAGAGGGCCACAGCGAGGTGTAGCATGGAGACCCGACAGGTAAATGCCTTAGGCATCCCTTGGGTGTTGGGGCAGGCAGTAGGCGAGGACTGCGCCCTTACCCGGTCCTTCAGGAGGTCAGCTAGGACACTGATCGCACAGAAGGTGCCTGTGGGATGCAGAGGTGCGCTGGGCTTGGGTTCTGTAGCTGGGGGTGGGAGTCCTGGGGGGCAGCGATCTCTAGTGGGCTTATGTTAGCTGTGAGCCACGGAGGCCAATTCGGACCAACTTGGGCAAAAGAAAAAAGAGGATGTGCGTGTGTGCGTGGAGGGGAATGCTGGCTCCTGTGCCGCCAGAGAGCTTCAGTGGTAGAGCCCCAGGCGAGGCTGTGTCTGGGCGCTCCTGGAGAGCTTCAGTGGTAGAGCCTCAGGCGAGGCTGTGTCTGGGTGCTCAGCGTGGCTGGGAATCTGCCCTCTTCTGTTGTGTCTGAGCCTTATCTTGTGTGGACTTTTTCTGTTTCCTAATAAGTTTAACAGTTCTTTCTGTTCTTTGGATAGATTGATTTATTTAGGTTTTTTAGATTTAGTTCTTCGCTTTGTTTGTTTTTAAATGTGTGGAGTTTTCTGTATCCACATTGTGTATAGTTTCTTTTTAGGCCGGTTTCTGGTACCGGTGGAAAGAATAGCACTTCCAGGACTGGCTTTGATCGGCCCTGTCAGGGCCATGGGCTCATCCTTAGCCCGTCACCACGACCCTTGTATTGGATGAGACTACGGGAAGGTCAAAGGGGAGGTAACAGGTGTTCCTGAACGATGGACCCGGATGTGGGGAGGCAGCAGCAGGTATCCCTGCCTGCAGAGACGGGACCTGAGCTCAGGTACCTCCCATGAGGTCTCAGCAGGTGGGCTGTGTGGTGTAAGTGCAGGGCTGCGCCGTGGCTGCCCAGAAAGGCTTGCACTTGCCCACCTGGGGCACGAGGAGAGCATTCATCCAGTGGGGAGAAGAGAGCTGGTCACAGAGGGCATGCACCACTAGGAGGGGCGCGCTCTGGGGTGGGGATTTTCTTCCAGTGACTGTGAGGCAGCATCCAGCCTGCAGGGTGGTCAGGAGCAGGGTGGACTCAGCATGCAGTGCCCCACGTGGGTGGCACCTGCTGTTGGCCCAGCTGCCTGCTTCCTGCTGCCACCGTGTCCACATTGCTTTAGCGGCTGCTTCCTGTCCGCAGATCTCTGCCTCTGCCTCCCGCTGCGAATGTCCCCTTGCCCTGGAGGAGTCCAGCCCGGGCCAGGGAAGGGCCTGGAGCTGGGGCCCAGGTGGGCAGGTCTGAAGGGCTCTCTTCCTCCTGCAGGTCTCTCCTTGGAGCGCCTGCCCAACTCCATTGCCTCCCGCTGCCGCCTGACCGAGCGGGAAGAGGAAGTGGTCACCTGTTTCGAGAGGGCGTCCTGGGTGGCGCAGGTGTTCCTGCAGGAGCTGGAGAAGGTGAGGTGGGAGCCGCGGCGCGGTACCTGCCGCGCTGAGCCCCTGGTCACTTCATGCAGATTAGAAAAGGGAGCTTCCCATCGTCCTAAAATGTTTAACTTCCTGGATTGGAGAAAATCCACTGCATCACCCTGATTTGGTTAGGATGAAGCTGTTTACCACTGGGCCGTAGGTTTAGTAGGTAAATGGGCCCACGTCACCTGTGATGAGCTCAGCTTGTAGGACCAGATGTGCCAGCCCTATGTGTGCGTGTTCATGTGTTCATGCCTCACACACCTCTGTGTGTGTGTGGGGGGGGGGGTGTCTCTTCAGGAGCTGTGGTGTAGAGAGGGCAGATCATCTGTGCACCACACTGTCCTTCACAGGCTGGCTTCAGGCTCCTTGCAGCATTAGACCTCCTTCCCTGCTGGAGGGTGTCCCCAGGTGTGTTGCCCTGGGGCATGTTTTCCAGGCCTTTCAGAAGTGGCCGGAGCACTACCCAGCAGGACCCTGGCCCCCACCGCCCGTGGGGCCTGTGGTAACCACTTCCTCCTGCTCCGAGCTCGCTGGGGTAGAACTCAGTCTTCTGCCTGAGGGGAAGAGAGTTAGGTGCAGTCAGCAGAGACTGCTAGCATGTTGAGTGCTGGCCTCATGTCAGACCTTGCTCTGAGGGCCGCGCCTACGTTCTGTAACTTAGGCCTCCCGCTGATGAAGTAGGTGCTGCTGCTGTTCCCACTTGCAGGTGAGCAGAGTCAAGCTTAGAGAGGCTCTGAATAACTCGACGGAGTTCATGAGTTAGTAACACCAGCAAGCACGCCAGGCCCCGTGGCTCTCATACCTGGTCAGACAGATTAGGTGTTAGCCAGCAAGGTGTCTAGCTGCAAGGGTTAGGGCTGGCCCCCTGAAGGGTGCAGCAGTGTGCTGCACTGAGGGACTTCAGGTCCAGGGGACAGTGGACTGCGGCACGCTGGGGAGAAGCCCAGTGCCCGCGTTGGTGCTGGGCCCTTAGGTCTGTCCCTTCCCCAAACGCCGCAGTTCTCGACTTCAGATTGGTCTTTGCTGTGGGGCTGCACCCCAGAGAGTGGGGTGTTAACAGCACCCCTGGCCTTTACCACAGGACAGCAGCAGCACACACGCGTGCACGGACCCTCACCCATGACACCCTGAAGTGTTTCTGGAGGCTGCCACCTGTCCTCCGCCTGCCAAGGGCCTCTGCTCTGGAGTCCCTCTGCCTGGTGGGATTTCAGAAGGAAAGCAGAAGTGATTCCACATCCACAATTAGAGTGCTGTCCCCTGCAGAGTGGCTTGGGGACCTGGCCTCTAAGCGACCTTGACCTTGGTCCCTTGGGTCACTCCTAGACTTCAGTGTCTTAGGGACACTTTCCATTTGAATTGTTTATGGTTTGAAAGAAACTTAAGAGAGCTGGGAGCCAGGACTTCGGACTTCTAAATGAATTGAGGGTATTGCGATTGGCTGTTCCTAGCTCTTCCTGGAGGGGCTGTTTCTGAGCAGTTCCTGCATGGCCAGGACGGTGAGGGGCCTGGCAGAGGGCTGGCACTCCTTGTGCATGGGACGTCTGAGCCAGGAGGTGGAAGGAGCCTGCAGTCTGTCACTGGCTGGCCGGAGTTCCAGGTCCAGGCCCACACCATTTGTGTTCTCAGCCTGCTTTTTCCTCAATACAAGGCAGGCAGAACTCAGCCTTGGAGGGCTGTGGTAAGCTTTCATTGAGGCCTGGGAGGCTGTTCTGGAAGGTTCTCCTCTCCCTCTTTCCCATCTAGGGGGTATGGACAGCACAACTGGCACTCAGGGGACTTAGTCCCTGCCCCAAAGGAGATGAGATTTGCGAGCAGAGGGGCTAGGCCAGGGTGAAGTGACCTCTCCCTGCAGGCATGGGCCGGGGTGCTGTGGGGCGAGGAGGGCACGCCCACACGGTGTAGCTGCTGGGGGCTGAGTGACGGTGCCTCAGTGTCCCCACCTGTGAAACGGGAGTGACAGTTCTGACCTGGCAGGGTTGCTCTAAAGATGGAATGAGCTAATGAATGTAAAGCTCTGGGATTGTTGAGTAAATCTCGCTAGACAAGGGGCTGTAAGTGTTTGGCTGGGGACAGAGAGCTTTAGAAACATTTATTTTTACTTTTTGTGGCACCAGGGATTGAGCCCAGGGCCTTCACGTTGAGCTACATCCCAAGTTCTTTCTAATTTTTTGTCTTTCTGAGTCACTCAGTGGGCCAGGTTGGACTGAAACTTGTGAGCCTCCTAATTCAGCTTCCCAGGTGTAGATGTAGTTTAAATTAAAGTGAGTCGGGTTGAGGTTTGCCTGTGCTGGCGGCAGTGGGGCCAGCTCCTCTGGCGAGGCTCTCCCCCCAGCCCTTGAGATAGCACCTCCCTGTCTGCTCCCCTTCTCAGACCACAAACAACAGCACCTCGAGGCACCTGAAAGGCTCCCACCAGGCTGACTATGAGCTCACCTACTTCCTGGAAGCCGCCCTCCAGAGCGCCTACGTGAAGAACCTGAAGAAGGGGTAGGTGGCCGGCAGCCGAGCAGCCCGGGTCTCCGAGGGCTCCCAGGGGACCCGTGGGCTGGCTTGCGTCCCATGGGGCCAGGTGTCATGTGCGGGCCGAGCCTGGGGAGCTGCCAGGGCAATAAAACCGGTGTGCACTGGGAAGGCGCGTGTGCCCGGTGGGCATCTCCTCGGTGCCCAGCGTGGCTGTCCTGGGGCACATGGCGGCCGGGGTTGGGTGACATGCAGAGTGAGCAGGGCATGGGGCTGGCTGGCAGGTGCTTGCTCTCGGTGTCCCCTCTCATCGGGTGTGGGAAGGTGCAGGTTGGGGAGGCTGGTTCTCGCATGCCAGTCGTGAGCAGGAGGATGTGCTGCTGTGGATGCGGGCGTAGGAAGATCACTTTCCTGTGCATTGTTTGGGGGACCCTGGAAGCACTCACCTGCCTGAGCCCCAGGACATGGCGTCCAAAACACTGCCTCAGTTGTCATTGCTAGGTAAAGCAAGGTCCCCTGTGAGTGGAACGCCGGTGGCTGGCATTGGGCTCCTGGGGCACTGCTGAGTCAGCGGGCAGCCAGGTGGCTCCAAGCAGCCCTGTCTGCTGACAGCAGCACCCGTACACAGGCGGAGTGGAGGTTCTGGCCCGTCTCTGCAGCAGAGAGTTAGGGCCCCCTCAGCGCCTTTCTTCTTCTGGCTAGCAACCCTTCAGCGCATAGAGGAGGGGTTCACCTGTGCTGGGTGCAGCCCACCCTGCAGGAGGGGTGTTCGTGATGTGCCAGCCCTGGCTCGCCTGTTAGCTGCCCTGCAGGGCGCTGGGCACCAGGCAGGTGTCTCCTCCTGGGCAAGGAGTCCCAAGGTGACATCACTGAAACCTGGGTGACATCGCTGACACCTGGAAGTCTCTGAAGCCCGTACATCATGTTCATTAGGATTCACTTTGTTAAATTTCACTGGTCCATTCTTTTTTCATTTACTACCTGTTTTTGAATAGATGATTCTTGCACGTGATATGTGTTTGGGCCGAGGAAACATACTTAGTTTTCTTCTGCAGTGTATTCCTAACCCAGACAGACCACATCTGTGACCGAGGTTGTGTGTTCTTCCCACCCACAACCGATTTGCCAGAACTCCAGCCAGGAGAGCCGTAGTCCAGCTTGGTGCTGACGTCTAGCAGCATTAGCGCAGGTCCTGCAAGACTGGCCCTTCGTCAAGAGCAGCAGGTCCCCTCGGTGCCCACAGATTTGTCTGAGTTGGTGTCACTCAGAGCTCCCCCAGCTCCTTCTGAGTCGGGATGGGATAGAGCAGCTCACAGCACCTGAGCAGCAGTTGCCGAATTCCTAGGTGACTGGGCTGTGACAGGACAGGGTCAGGATCAGCAGCTGGCAGCGAGCGCGCTTCAGTGCCCTCTCTGACCGTGCTGCCCTGTGTGGGCCCTGGCAGAGGTCCCATCACACAGGAGCGACCAAAGGGCAGGCACAGTGGCCACGAGCTTCGTGCCCTGCCTGGCCTCCTCCAGAGCAAGATTTGCAGATGCTGTGCTCAGGGAATTGACTGTTTACATTTTGGTGTGCGTCTTTCATGTTTTTCTGTGTGTAGACAGGCAGTTGTATTTTTTTTTTTTAATGTTTTCCCTCCTGAATTTTATTTTTTATTTAAAAAAAATTTTTTTTCTTTATTTGTGTGTGTGTGTGTGTGTGTGTGTGGCCAGCTCAGCCCACCAGGGGGCGGGGCTGGCTGGCATGTGGTGCTGGGGGATTGAACCACGGTCCATGTGCTTTGCTAAGCTTGTTCTAAGTAAGTGCTTTAGACCACTGAGCCATCTCACTAGCCCTGTATTTGTTTTATTAAAACAAAAGCTGGCATCGAGGTGCACGCTGCCCGTAGCCCCCCTTGGCTCCCTGGCTCACTCACTGCTCCTCTCGCTTCCCTGCGAGGTTGCCCCCTGTGGGGTGGATGGGAGGTGGCCGAGCCCATGCCCGGGACTTGCAATGGGAAAGCCAGGCCTGAGCTGGGTCCTCAGCCCGCACTCCCTGAGGATTGGACGGGTAGAGGAGGTTGCTGGTGGCCATGGGTGCTAGCATAACTGGAGTCTGCAGCAGAGGGTCTGTGGCCGTTAAGCATGATGTTGGGACAGCAGGTTGGAGGTGTCTGACTATGCTACAGGGGCCTGGTACAGGAGACAGCAGATTGCTAGGCGAGGTGGAGGTAGTGCGATTTCCTGGACTCTGTTAGGTGCAGAGCCATCACCTAGGGGCGGAGGACATGGGTGTTCTGTGCCTCTGAGAGGCATCTGACTGGAATCCGGTGCTCAGCATCCTGTGGGTGGGCACCCCTGCGGCATCACAGCTCCATTCCCTTGAGTGTCTGAAGCCTCTGAGCTTAGCTCCTCAACCGCCCGGAAGAGCAGGAAGTGGAATCCTTGCCCGGAACTGACAGAGTCGCTTAGTAGGGCCCTGAGCGGGAGGCACAAGTGGCCGAGATGGCTGTTGCCAGCCCATGGTGTGGGCCTGGGGGAGCCTGTTTCCCCCTTCTTTCTCTCCTCCCTTTCCTTTCCTTTCTGTTGGTGCTGTTGAGGGGCAGGAGGGGTGCTGTCTTCCTGGTGGTGAAGGTGGCGTGATCCAGCCCAGAGCAGGCCACCACTTTTCTGTCTCCTCCCCCGGGCAGAGCACGAGGGTGGGACGTGCAGCTCAGGAGCCATCCCAGAAGTGAGTCCCAACATTGCCACCAGACTGTTGGGCCCTGGGAAAGTCCTCCAGGCTCTCAGAACCGCTTTATTCCTCATCTGGGAAGTGGAAGTGAAGATTGTCCTGGGCAAGCACCAGGTCGGGCACGCAATAGACGTCTCACCCGCCCAGAGGACCAGAGCCGGCATTGTCATCACTTAGGTTTTGTGCAGTCAGCAGCTGGACAGGCTGCAGGGCCAGATAGGAACGTTATACCTTCTGTTTGTCTTTTGTGGCCTCCTAAGTGCTAGGCTGGGATGCCAGGGAGGATCGTCCCTGAGTTGGCTGACTGTAGAGGAGCCCCAGTAATGCATGGGGTACCCAGAGGCGCGGCTGCTCCGCCCACTTCCACAGCTGCTGCCTGGCCTGTTCCGGTTGCTGGGCATCAGCCTTGGAGGTAGTGCCCAGCAGCAGGCCGCCTGTGTCTATCCCTGAGGCAGCGCCATCGCCCTTGCTGCTGTGCCCAGGCTACAGAGCCCCTCTCCTGCTATCTCGGAGCTCTGGGGTGCATGTGGGCTCCAGGCAGTGCTGATGCTGCTCTCTGTGCCCTGCCTGCAGAAGTGTGGGGTCCGATACCCCTGCACTCGAGCCCTCCGGTAACTGTCTCACCGGAGTTGAGTGGTGGCACTTGAGACCAAAGGGCTAACCCTGTAGGGTTTGCTGTCTTTATTTGTCCTGTACAGAAAGCGGTTTGGAACCCCAGCACTCAGAGCTGGGGGGAGCTCCCTCCCAAGATCCTCACAGGCACAGAGGGCAGGCTGGGTTCTGGATGGAAGTCCTGCAGAGTGGACCTTATTGTGGGGACTGCTCCGATTTCAAGGTTCTTTCTCTGGTCATCATTTAACGAGTAGCCCCTCTAATAACTCGTGCACCTTATCAGGTGCGAAGTTTGCACCCGGCGCTTGTTAAGCACTTTGCTTGGATGCATCCATCTCCCCGCAGCCCTCTGCAGTCAGTGGCCGTGGTGCGCCTGCTCCGCTTTGCAGGTGGGAAGTGAGGGTTAGATGACAGATGTGACTTGTGCTGGGCAGAGCCGGGACTCTACATGCGGGGTTGTCAGCTTCAGGAGCTGGCACGCAGAGCCACCAGGAGCCACTGCCCTCCGCGGGAGGCTTCTAAGACCCTGTTCCACCCTTGGCGTGCACAGCTCAACACTGCCGTTTCCCCTGGGTGAGCCCATGCTCTGTGTCCGTCCCACTTCTGATGGAAGATACAAAAAAGTCTGGAAGTCTCAGGGTCGGCTGGGTGCCCTCACCACCTGGAAGAAGTCAGGACGGCCTGGGAGCTGGAGGCTGTGAGCTCCTGCTCTGCCCCGCAGCATGGCTCCCAGCCCTGTGGGAAGGTGCTTGTGTTTGTGGCAAAGTGTGGGCTGGGAGAGGAGCGGATGGAACCCAGCCGCTGGAGGTGCTGCTGTTGACCCCCTCCACCTGTACCTCTTCCCCACACAGCATTTCCTGGAGGGATCTTGAGACTAATGTGGGTGTCAGGAGCAGCCAGGCTGCAGTGAGGGAGGGCGCTGTGGGGGCCTGAAGAGGCCCAGTCACTGGCCACGCCCGTCCAGTGGGGTTCCAGCTGCAGGTCCGAGAGGCCTAGAAACCCAAGCCCTTGCTAGGTTGGGTGGGGAAAGGTAGCCTGGCTGGCCTGCGGGGTGTGCAGAGGACAGGCCCTGCTGTGGTGCCGTCTGTGAAAAGAGCCTCAGCGCGTGACCTCTTTTGCTCTTCCGTGACCAAAGTCATCGTTCTCAGCAGATGGCTGTCTCCCTGTAGGCAGCCCCTCCCATCTGTATTCTGTACCCTCAGGCCCTGGGAGAAGCGGTGAGCATGCTTGCACACGTGCACACACACACACACACGTGTGTGTGTGCGCGCACACACTGCAGGTTGCCAGTGCTGGGCAGCGCCATCAGCCGAGCGTGGACGCCTCCTCAGAAAGCCCAAGAGATTTCAGTTTCATTTCTCTTCCTGTTACTGCACCCTCCCTTTGTCCTGTTTCCTGCTGAGGCACAAATTTCAGTCTTTAGAGCCAAGATACTGGCTCCACCCCACCCACCCTAACCACAGAACATGAAGAGGAGTGGAAATTAATAGTCATTTCTTTCCACACAGCCCAGACGTCTAAAGTCCCAGGCCACGTGGCAGTAAGGAAGCCCCTCTGTTTGTTCTCTGTGACCCAGTCCAGCTCAGAGGTGGTCCTGAGAGTGGGACCGCGGTGTCTGCAGCAGGGGTTGCGGCCCTCTGCCTGGCCTGGCTGCACACAATTTCTTAGAACCTTTCCTCGTAAGCATGGCTTGTGTTTGCTAC